ATCCTTTGTTATCCAGCAACCAAGATACTGGAATATTTGTAATGGTTCTATATGTTTGTTATAGATACGAATATTAATGTCGACATTTGGTGGACGTGTAACAGCCATTACTTTTGTTTTATTTGTGTTTATATTTAGTCCCATGCTATCTCCCTCTCTGGTTATGACATTCAAAAGTCGTTGTAAACCTCAGCACGTCCGCAAGTAATTGACGATGGCGTCTGCGTATCTTAAGTTGTTATCCGTTGATTTTTTATTCCTTCTTCAATATTTTCGAGGCATTTTGAACGATCAATACGCTCTTTTCGTAGTCGATAAAACAGAGAAACACGTCTTTTCGCTGATCTCGGCATTTTTGTAGTAATATCTGGAGGCCAAATAATGCCTCCCTTGTTATAAGCCCCATACGAAATCCAAATTGATTGTCGCTTAGGTTTCTTTCGCATTCTCTGTAGTTGATGTACAATTTTGAGTAAAATTTTCAGAAAATGGCTCATTAGGCCAATTAATCTGAACTATGAGCATCTATTTGCTTTATTTTTCTTGAGTATAGGTATAAATGTCGATCTAAGCAATCTTCTGGGAAGATTCCAGTGGTATATATTTTGTTAAATAATATTGTTAACGTCTGAAGATTTTTTTCATTGATAAGCTTTATCATCTCTATGTATATTTTATCTGGACCTGAGGCTTTTCGTGGCTTTGCCGTGTTGATTGTTTTTGTAACTTCGATGTTAATATATCAAGTATTGTTTCTTGTACTATATTCATTTGTGGTTCTGTTCTCTCGTCATCAAACAGATCTTCGATATATTTTTCCCACATATCTCCTACATTTTCTGGACTAGATACTATTTCGTTGTTATCATCTACTAAAGTTGTTGTAGTGATTTTTTTTTCATGTTTGTGACTTCCTTAATCTTTTTGTATGCATTAAAGTAGTCATGCTTTTTTAGTAAATCTCCCAGTTCCTCACACTTGCTGCTCATCTATTCTTCTTTGGCTTTCCTAATTTTGTTTCGGATGATTCTCTGGGTTTCTTTATATTTTTCTTCATTGCGATTTTTGTAAGATCTCCTTATGTCCATCAGTTCTAGGACTTCTTCTGTCATTCATGTATTCTTTGTTTTTCTAATATTGTCTTGTAGTTGTTCTCTTTGTATAGTTGTGATTGTTGTTTTGAAGGTGTGCTAAATACTTTCTATTATTTCTTCTGCTTCCGCGGGTGCTTCACTGAACTTTTCTTTGAGTGTATCATTGAGTGTTTTCTCTATTTCTGCCTGTACTATTGGATCTTTAAGTTTTTCGATGCTAGGTTTTATCTTCTCTCTTTATTTAATTTTCTTTAGTTTGATTGAAATTTTACCAACAACAGGATTGTGGTCGGAACCGATGTCTGTCCCGGGATATGTTTTAACTCTCCTGATTCCATTTCTATAACGTTTGTCAAATAATATATAATCAATCTGGTTTCTTATTATGCGGTTTTGATTATCGCCAGGTGCTTTCTATGTATATAGTCTTCTTTTGTGCTGTTTAAACCAGGTGTTTGCGATCATTAGACTTTCTTCTTGGCAAAATTGGACCAGTATTTCTCCTCTATCATTCTTTGCCAACAATTCTACAGTTTCGGTCCGCCCTTCACCTACTTTGGCATTAAAATCTCCCATAATAATGTATACAGCATTTTTTATCATTTATTATCATCAAATAGTTCTTGTATGTATTTGGTCCATATGCATATTCCTTGATTCTTATCAGTGATGATGTTTCCCTGTGTATTTTGCAGTTTGCTAGCTGTGTTGGGTTTTTGAAGACCAGCTGCTTGTTTTACCTTTTTATGCATATTAAATGTAACGTGTTTTTGTTCCAATAACTCTATTTCTTCACACTGGGTATTCCAGCAATTATCGACCATAGTCGGTGGGGTCACCTCTCCGATTTGGCTAAAATTTTTATACACATGTTGTACTATACAAATAAATCATGATTTGCAACTTTTCAGACCTTTAATATTCAAAGATGGCGGCTCGTGGACGCTGTGTTAGTAGTTATGAGTACGTATGTACTGCACATGATTTGCTAGTTTATTTTCTATATTCGTCATATTTTTCCAAATTGTTTATTCCTATTGACAGCTCTTAATATGTTTACCTCTCATTATGCTTTGCTACATAGCCTCACTAAGATCCTATAATCTATTTATCTCAAGCATGGCCAAGTAACTGCGTCACATCACATGCTTTCTCTTCCCTATTTTTTATAAACCAGTAGACATAATTGTTACGTGTTAGTGTTAGATACCCCATCGTTTTTAAAGCGGCATCTCAGTCTAGAATATCTAGTATAGGGAATGATCAGTTTAGACTTACATACAAGTTTATTTCACGTAAAGGCTTCACACACGATTCTCATTCATAGGCTGTCTAAGAAAACAATTTTCATAACCTTTGTTGCTCTTGGTCTTGCCTGTTCAGGTCTTCTGAACTAAGAAAAAGTTACTCGAAATCTTTGGAAAGCATCGAATATTGTACTTAGCGGAACGACAAGATTTTTTGCTATATACCTAAAAGAAGTCCATAAATATGCAGAGCAACAGCGATTGCACGTATTTTGACTGCTACAGCTTTGACTAGGACACTGACGATGTTCATAGTATCATAGTTTCACTGGATACCGTACGTAGAAGATTAAGCAAATAAAACTTATTATCTTATCCATCCGTTACATGCCTTTATTGGATGCAACTGATCGAACGCAACGCTTGGAATTCTTTCGTGCTCATGCAGATTGAATATAGAAGCGTGGAGAAACGTTCTTTTACAGACAAGTCTTATTATACGACATTTTCTATGCTGCTTATTTGCTAGAGTATAGTTTGATGGTGGAGGTATAAAGGTATGGAGTGGCAAGTATTTGGAAGTACATACAGATCTTGTTATGTTAGAGGAAGGTAGTCTTAATGCTGATAGGTACATTAGAGAATGTCTAAAATAACGTGATACCTTATATGCACTGTACAGAAGAAAATTTTCTCTAAAAATCTGATTCAGGAAAATGCTCGGCCAGATATAGCCAGGGTAACAATGCAATACTTTAAATATGTTGGTATTCGGATACGAACCTGGCCTCCTAGCATTTCAGACCTTAACCCCATAGAACATTTTTGTCTGACAATTTGAAGAGGAGTAGTTAGACAAAATTATGACGAATTTGAAACTGTGATAGTGTTAGAATCGTCGCTGGTAAACGAATGTAAATAAATATAGTCCACTGAATGTTACATTTTTAGGCCTTAACGTAAATTTCTTGAAGGACGCAATTTTATTTTTTTGATACATTAAGAGGTAAGTGTAGTTTTAAGTTCGTGGGGTCGCTACCATTGTACACCAGCCGCCATCTTGAAAAAAAGGCGTGCACAGTGTTTTCACGCTGTATCTTGTATACTAGCATCCCTACAAAAATGATGTCAGAAATTATTTGTAGCAAATTAAATTGTTTACAAGTTTATTCCTATTACTTTTTATCGGTAAATGGAAAATAAGGTTACAAACAAAAATAGCTAAAAAGTTTGAAACAAATTTTCTTTTGAGCCGTATAATTTTTTTTGGTAATTTTACAATATTATGACATCAGGGCAATATTATAAAGGGTTTTTAAAAAAATAATTTTCTTCACACATTTTTATAATTTCATAAATTTTTCTGGACTTTAGAGCGCTCCGATTTTGAAGGGGTTCTTGATTACTCGTAAGAATAGGACAAAAACGAACCATTATACTTAGTTTTCTATTATACATTCTGTTATTCATTATATTATATAAAGTATGTGGGGTTGTCGTAAAGCAGGCCTCAAATACTGCAGTAAAATTATAGAAATATCAAAATTAATCGAAAAATCGAAGATGAATTACCCACAATGATGCCAATTCTAACTCACGTTCTTCCGCAAGCATTCACCTTCGATATTGAATTAGATGCTGAACGGCAACTTAGACAGCAAATAAAATGTAAAAACAATAGCTGGAAAACAACTTTTTAAATTCATATTTATGCTCAATATTATCTCGCCTGGAAATTATCCGTCGATTAGACCTAATGGGTATACCACTTAAAAAAAGTGCTTCCAGACTCTAACTTATAGGTGTTCGGAAAAAATGTTAAAAATAAATTATTATTAACATTAAAAAATGATAGATTAGATGAATAAAAAAATAAGTAATAGAAAACTAAGCCTAATATTATTACCAAGACTAAGTTTTTTATTGTATTCTTAAGAGTATTCAAGAACCTGGAAAACTTTTTATTTTCCATTTTATAATAAAAAATAATACAAATAAAGTTGTAGAGATTTAGCACAAAACCCTTAGCACTCCTTATTCGAAGATGGCGAATATTCAAGGACTTGGTTAAAATCGAAGCGTTGTAAAATCCAGAAAAAATAATAAATTAAACAAATTTATAATGAAAATTATTCCTTAAAAACATCCCATAATATTGCTCTAACGTCATTTTTTGTAAAATAACCAGAAAAAAGTTATAAGGCCCAAAGAAAAGCTGTTCAAAACTGTTTGTCATGTTCGTCTATAATATTTTCATTTTACGATTAAAAGTGATATGAATAAAGTTGTAGACAATTTAGTTTGCTACAAATAATGTTAACATTTTCTCTAGGGTTACTAGTTTACGAGATACAGCATAAAAGCCTTTTGCACCACTTTTTCCAAGGGTGGCGATCCCACAAACTTGAACTTAAGCTTATTCTTACCCCCTCCCCTAACACATAAAAACTATTAAATTACGTCCTCTCAAAAATGTAATCCTAATGTAATTTTTCAATTGACTAATACCGCAAAACGGGATTGCTGCTTTGATCCAGTTTAGGCCAGAAAGGATGAGAGCTATTATTTGAGCTCGAGGAGGTAATACTACTTTCCTAATACTTTTTAATTTTACTTAAAATAAACTTTGTTGTTCGGTTAATATTGCTGGGCGGTCTTTTTATAATTGCTAAAAAAATATTGACAGATAAAAAATGGAATAAAACATAATTATGGCTAACATAAAAACTTATACATCTTACCTTTGGTGGTACTATAAGGAACGTTTCTATTTTATGATCTGACAGATAATTTTCCCTGCTTGCACCTTCGCCATTTTCGACTTGGAATTTATCGCCCAGTTGATTAAGCGTGGCTCGTGTGATATGGACACGGCTGTAAAAATAGATAAACTTTAAAATGAATTCTGAAAAAACTTATAAATATTATATATATATATTATTTATAAGTATTTAAATATTTATATAAAAATATATAAATATTTTTAAAATAAATTAATCGCACCAAAATTTGCCTATACGCGCAATTTGTTTGTAATAAAATTTTACGAGTTATATTAATTGTTATATTCATTAACATGAAAGTTTGCCTCCAATTACCGTTAGACCTTGTATTTGGCCTTAGTATATTCATGCCTTTTGTATCAAGGCTAAATTGAATCTCCTCACAGTAACAGTAAGTTCTTGTAAAGTGGCCTTACTGTGCTGAAGATTCACTTTTAGAACCCTGATTGCGTTTATGAAGACCTATTTGAGGTATAGACAGAGTTTATGATTAAGGTTGCCATCCTTTATATTTGTAGATTCAGAAGATATTCACTTCTTTGTGAGTCAGTCTTTTGGGTCATTTTTTTGTTACTATATCTATTTTGTTTCCAAATTGTGTCCAAATATTATGTATAAGTTGAGACGAAATATTGTTAAGAATCAGTGCGACCATACCATACCAAGGTTATAACATCTCAAAAAGCTTTCAGCTGTCTGGGGCATCGCTTAGGCAAACGTATTCTACCTGGGCTACGCACCCTATAATGACAGTCTTACACCACGGGATTGGCTAGAGTAGTAATCGACCCATATTAACACACCCGTCCAACTATTTTATATATTCATCTTAGTCCCGTCGGGATAACATTTGACCTTGCATGGCGAGCTACTCCAAATTTTATTATTCTAACACATATTGTTCATTGACTTCCAACTAACAGGCCTTTGACATAAACAGACAACAATTATCAAAAGAAATGAAAAGAATGTAAATACAGAAAAGTTAATAAGACTTACTAGAACGATAGTAAAGGACTCACCAGCAAGAGTCAAAATAACTGAAGGAGATTCAAACGACATTAATATAGAACATGGCGTAAAACAAGGAGATAGTCTGTCAACGGCGCTATTTAAAATCAGACTAGAAGGAGTAATCAGAGACGCAGAGCTGAAAAAAAAAAATTATTCAAAGTTTAACACAAATCATAGAATACGCGGAGACCTAGCATTGGTAGCGCGTGACAAACAAATCTAGAAGAAACACCAAAGTAAAGAAATCTAGAAGTACAAGAGACGATGTAAACAGAGTAACAGAAATAAAAATCGGTGAAAATAAATTCCAGTGGGTCGATCACTTTTAATACTTGAGGTGTTGGTGGACGGCAAAAATAGAAGGAGAAATCAGCGAACCTATACTCTGACTTAGAATCATCAGTCTATATACAGGGTACCATCAGTACCAGTTCAAGGCGTAGAGGAAATGATCCTGGATCGGCTTGAAACTGGATTACCATAAGCATGACTGGAGCAGTTTAAATGGTTGTGGTACTGCGATGAGGAAGGCAACGGGAAAACACCCCATTATATTTTCCACAAATCTAAATGGCAGACGGAAAAAGAAAATGGCCTAGCCCTCAGTCCAGGACACCTCTTTAAATGGGGAGAGAGTGCGAAGAATCTCCCGTCAAATACTCAAGAAAGTGGACAGAGAATACAAATATATGACCGAATGGTACGCATTGCCACCTGGAAGGTACGTAGGTTATTTATGTCCGGGAAACAGGCAAACACTGAAGCTGAGATGGTAAGACTGAAAATAGACATCTTGGGGATGGTGAAGTAAGATGACCTGGTTCAGGATATGATATAAAAAAAAACATTAATACATATTACTCAGGTGAACTGACCCAAAATCAATATGGAACTGCTATATTAGTTCGAAAAAATTGCTCAATAGTCACAGATTCATCCCTCTAAAGATAGAGTAGCAATGTTGAAATTACAAACAAGTCACAGAAAACTAAATATTATTTAGGTCTAGCTCCAACAAATGTCAAGTCAGACGAAGAAATCGAAAAATTTTATAACATAGATGAAATAATGATCCACATAGAAGCATACGGTCTATGTACCATGAATAATAGAGGAGATAGACTTGTACAATTCTGAAAATCTGTAAATCTGTAATCTGTAAATAGCCAATACCTTCTTCAAAGAACATCCTAGAAGGTTATACACATGTAAATCACCTGCAGACAGAAAAAACAGAATTGTTAGAAATCAAATTGACTTCATTTTGCTCAATAACACCTTTAAGAAGTACATACAATCTACAAAAATATACCATGGAGCTGATATACATAGCGATCACAATCCAGTTATAATGGATTTTAGATTAAAAACATTTCTCAAAATCAAAAAGAAAACAGTGACAAGAAAAATAGACATCTAACAACTGAAGAACCCTGAACAGAAAAAAGAAATATCAAGCTGAGGAAGAAATAAAAACGATCGATAACTTGGTACAGATAGACATTGAAGTGACATGGACTACTCTAAAAACAAAAATAACAAAGATACAAGAAGAAGACATCGGGTTCATAAAACACAACAAAAAACAAGAATGGATAACGCAAGAGATCATAGACCTCATGGACGTAAGACGAAAACAAAACAAGCCCAATAGAATACAAGCGAATCAATAAAATCATTAGAAAAAAGTGCAGGGAGGCGAAAGAAAACTGGGTGTCAACAAAATGCCTAGAAATCGAACAACTTCAGGAAAAATACGACACCGTTAATATTTATAAAAAAGTAAAGAAATTACAGGTAGACACAAAAAGAGACAAGCAACAATATTAAAAAATGATAATAACGAAATAATTATGGATACAGAAGACAAACTAGAGAGATGGAAAGAATACATACAAACTCTTTTTGACGACGATAGACTTGTTCTCCACCATCCACAGATAATCGAATAAATGAAAAAAGGCCCAGACATAACCAAAGAAGAAGTGATTCACGCAGTAAAATCTCAGAAAGATGGAAAAGCCACCGGTCCAAATAATATCAATGTCGAAATACTAAAACTAATTGCAGATAACGAAAGTAAAAGCCTAGACTTAATAACAGCATATTCAATAAGATATATGACACAGGTAAAATACCAACAGACCGGCTAAAATCAACATTCGTAGCATTACCAAAAAAATCGAATTCCTCACAATGCGATGATTATCGAATATTAAGCTTGATGTCTCATGTCCTTAAAACTTTTCTTAGAATTATCCATACATGAATTTACAAGTGTCTCATGTCCTTAAAACTTTTCTCAGAATTATCCATACATGAATTTACAAGAAGTGCGAGTTCTAGATAAGTGACACTCAATTTGAATTTCGAAACGGATTGGGAACACGAGAGGCTCGGGATGAGATACAGAGACATGAATGTAGATGTATATGCATGTTTTATTGACAACCGAAAAGCATTTGACTGCTTGAACCATCAAAAGATGATCGAAATTTTGAGAACAACTGGAGTTGATGAACAAGACTTGCGAATTAATTTAGAACTATACTTGCACCAAACGGCAACAATTAAAATAGAGCACACAACATCCGAAGATATACAAATCCGACGAGGAATGAGACAGGGTTGGGTTA